TTACATGGTAGTCTTTATTTATTTAAAACAAGCTTAGTACATTTAACTGAAAATTCATTATTTGAATTTCATTAAGTTGTGTATATGGAAATACAAAAAGAAAGAATTCCTAATAAGGGTCAAATTAAAGATCTTTGTCTTATTTTATTGTATTATTTTAATTAAACATAGTACTCCAGTTCGGCAAGATGCTTAAATATGATATCCTTTAGTAAGTTTAGGATTGTTTTCACTAAATAATTTAAATTATTCACTGTTAAATAAAAAGAAAATATTTTTGGTTATTGAGCTTACAGATTTTATGGCGAAATTTGTATCATGATATTTCAAACAAATATATGCGATAGTTTCACTTTTTTTTTCTTTTTCACAGAATTTGGTTTCGTTTCTTTTGAATTTCGCGCAAAGCTACACTAGGGTTATCTGCGCTAACCGTCCCTAATTTAGCAGTGACAGAGTAGAGGGAAGATAGCTAGTCAACAACACCCACCACTAACTCTTAGGCTACTCTTTACCATTGAATAGTGGGATTGACCGTCATTTTATAACGCTTCTACAGCTGAAAAGGCAAGCATATTCGGTGATGGGGAAAAGAACCCGCGACTCTCAGATCATCGAGCGCTCTAACCACCAGGCCAGGCCAGGTCCTTTAAAAAAATCTCTATTTCACCACTTTAGTATGTGGGTTATTGTTTAAACTTACACTTTTATTTTATACGGAAATAAATGATCGAAATAGAAAAAGACAGGAAAATTAAAGAAATAGTATGTTTTCGATAAAATTTATATATGCGATAATTCTTTAAATTTCATACCGATGATTTAAATCCTCAAGTTCTAGTAACAATTTCAAGTTGAAAATATTATTGATACATTTCTCATACAAAATCATTCCCAACTAAATAAAGAAAACTTAAATTCCATACTCAAAAATGAATAAGTTATTTATTAATGTTTATACCTCATTGATGGTTTCATGCTATATTTAGGGGGGGGGGGATCTCTGAACAATACTTCGTGACAAATAATCCTTATAAACAAAACTAATCTGCCAAGAATTTATGTTGCTTGAAAACTTCGACTACATAAATAGTTACACATTATGCCACACGACTTATACAATTCTCGTACTTATCTTGAAGATCAGAATATTTCGAAACTGGACGTTAATGAAGCATCATTTCTTTACGTAGATTTTTCACTACTATTAGGTAATGTCGGTTCTGTTTTATTCCATTTCCTTGATTGTTGTATCCGCCTTTGTGAACAGTTGTTTTTATTTCAACAAATGTCTGTAAATAAAAAACAAAACAAATACACAAACGTTGCAACGTTAAAGTAAAGAAGAAGAGGTTTGTTTTGTGTTTTAAAGAAATCGGAAGTTATATTAAGTTTCAGAAACAAGATACAATTATCTTAATCAAATTTTACCATGTATACCAACAAATATATTATATCTTAGAAAAATACAGGAACAAACCAACAGTTAGCGTCAGCACTGCTTTATTATCATAAGAATAAAATACGATTTATTTTCATATTATTAATAAAAGCAAAGTGACCCAACGACATAATTAAAATTGTTAGGTAATATTTTTTTATTTATTCCCGAGTTTCTTTTTCACCAGTATCGATTTAATGTATTTGCCTAAGTCTCTTGGTTGTAACGTCTCATAAGAATGACTATTTGTTTATGTTTCTGATAAAATACAAAATATTTATCTCGTTCTTTAATACATTTCAGAAATTTTACAACAGATGGCAGAAGTTTCCACAATTATTCTACCTTTATCCTCATTGATGATTAACAATAGCCGATAAACAATCTTCACAAGGCTAATTAGTAATAAACTTTCAAAATAATGAATTTAGAGTTCTTCCAAGTGGAAAATGACTATTAAAGATGTTACTGAAATAAAACAATACGTCATTTATGTTATATATATATATATATAAAGGCGGACGAACACGGAAGCTACGGGAAGTGGATCTGAAAAAAGATCGATTTAGAGCAAGTTTTTAATAACATTTTTGTGTGTGTTTAAAAGTTGTAGTGATACCCTTGTTAACATCCTACCGCCCAATAAAAGCTTTGGTTAATCTTAGCATGTTCTAACAGCAGAATTCTTCAATTTATTATATATTAGTTTATTGCATGAAAACGACCCAGTTGCCTCTTGTGCTTAACTAAATGGCTGATCCTCCCGTTAGGGTTAAAAAACTGAAACAGGTACGAACGTTAAGAATCAGTATTTTGAAATCAAACCAATAGCCTTAACTTGAACGAAAATTATTTCTAACATACCACCCATAATAAGCCATGGAGTTATAAGAGAGTTGTGTTCAAAGTTTGGCAGGGTAGTCGGTCTTATTCGTACCTTGCCTGTGTCTACTATCCAGAGTTTAAACACGTGGAAAGTTTTATACGACAAGCATATAATGAACTTAGTGATGACAACGAATTAAGCAAAACCCAAGACAAATGAATTATTTTTCAGAAGGTTATCGTTATACTTTATACTGTAAGTTTCTCGATGCAATGTTGCAATTATAAGGTTTATGGGCATGTAAAAAATACTGCCCTCAATTAAAAGAACATAAACTGATAAAGAATCAGAAACGGTTAATTTAAATAATGAAGACATGACACAAGAAGATCTCGAGTTGACGATATCGGATAACAACAAAGTTGATAAGTGTAACGCGGGTCATATCGGTATGGGAACAATATATGCACAAATACAAGATTGCCAGAAAGAAGAAAATGTAACTGTTTTAAACCAATGTCCAGCGGAAAGTGGACAAGAACTTTTTAATACTGGCCTAGAAAAGATAGTAAAAAACCAACTGAAAATACTAATGAAGAAAACGAAGGAATCTCGTTTAGAAAGATATATTTACTTGATATGTTTGAACCAAAAATATTACAAAACAGGTAAGAAATAATTCAGACGAAGAAGCACGTCAGGAGCAGAATAATAATAAAAAAAGAATGGAGTTCATACGAAAGAGATAATTTTAAACAAGAGTGTTATGTATAATGAGTATAAAACAAAATAATTCTTAAGATTGTTAACTGAATCTCTTTCACAAATTAATTTAGAACATAATTAAGACAAACAAATCTATGTAATGTTGTAGAGGAAAATGATAATAACGATTTAAAATATCTTGACACAGAGAGTGAAATTTTAGAAGACCATTATCAAAATCAAGATTTCTAAAATAGAAAAATTGAAAGAATATATATATATATATTTTAAAAAGATCAGAACAGTGTAAATACAAAAAAATGTATAGTTTTTATCTAAAAATTTAAGGAAAAAAATCACAAGTTCAGTTTACGTTACATTTATTAATAATGTCAAATGTATAGCTCAAGATTTTTTTCCTAATTATTATGGTAGTTACTGCTATACAAAATGTTAGAGGTTGTTCTACAGACATTATTAACCACGTGGTTAAAAAGTGATATTATGCGTCACCATGTAGAAATTATTGTATTACAAGAAACTAATGTTCCTGTACAAACCCAATCTTTATTTTGGAATAAGTGGAATTATAACAGTAGATTTACACCAGTCATCTGGGAGAGAAATAATGTTTATCTCTGAGCATAAAGGTAATATTCTGCATATATTGATAAAATCAACTTTATCTTTATTCAATGTGTAATTACACAATTTTATAAAAAGCTTAAGAGTGTTGAGATTGCACTGAGAAAGAACCGAGGGAATTATAAAATAATGATATGATGAGCTTAGCTGGAGATTTTAATGTAACGTTGAATACATAATTAGATCGTAAATTTTCAGAATAACACAAATATTATATAGTTGACAAATGTCTCTTGAACGCTTACAGAAATAACTGCTGCTTGTCAATCATTAGCAAAAGATAAGTCTTCTGGAACTGATGGCCTAACAATTGAGTGGTTAGTAAAATTTTGGCCTAACATTGACAGTTCTCTGCAAGAAGTGTTTAATAAATCTCTGGAGACAGGCGAATGTTGTAGAAGTATGATAAAAGCAGCAATTAAGTTAATATTGTTACGACAACGACAGGTCACGTGACGCTCGTATCACGCCACTTCCTTCTCGAACCTTCATGAAATGTCGGGAGACTACTAGATTGGGGTAGTCTTGTATATATAAGACCGGCCAAGAAGCAACGTAAGGTAATGAGTAATAATATTGTTGAGCACATGAGAAGTTCGTTGTGAATTATAGCGTTTGTTATAGAGCGACTGTTAAAATTAAATGTATCGCAAAGTTGTATTCAGAAAGAATGAACCAGTTTCATTTAAGAAAGGACTTGTATCGGCAAAGTTTCTTCGGTAAGAATTTTTACCGAAAATTAACTAACGATCGGAGACGTAACAATATTATAATTTCATGTAGCAACGGAATCATAACTAACAGCAACTCCTGCTGCAAAAGGACGTCCGAACAAGCATCACTGATCACTATATAGATCAGTGAGCATCACATATCTATCAATAACTACTAGATTTTCTCATCCGTTTTGCGTTTAATTAATAAATAGACCTACAGTCCGCAGATATTTCTCACTGTATCAAATGTTTTATTTTTATTTCAATAATTTTATTTAAGTTATATGTTTAAAAAATAAAATAGTGGAAAATATTTAGTTACGAAGATATTCAGCACGTTAGCAGTTTTTAGGTCGCTAACTATATCATAAATTAAAATAATATTGTTATGGTACACATACATACAATGGTTTTATTGTGTCATTCATACTTTTATAGATAAACTAAATTTGTTTGAAGAGAACTTGAGCAGAATAAATTATTAAACATGAAGTGTCTGTCGATACGCTTTTTTTTTTTTGGTGGGGAGAGGGGTATCGTGAGTGTAATTATCAGTAAGAACTGAGTGAAGGTTTAAATATAATTCATTAGGCCTGTCGAAATTTCGTGAGTCGGCAGACGTCGTCTCACTTCTTTACTTCATTGGTTATTGATACTAATGGTAATAATGTATATTCATTATACAGGATGCTTCTGTATTCATATTTTATTTGTAAATATATTTAATAAGTTTTAAATTGTAAAATTGAGAAAAACCATAATTTGTACAACTAGTTTGAATAATAAAAATTTACCAGTTTAAGCTCTAAGATCTTACAATTTTACATAGACTGACGGATGTCTTACAAAAGTTACATTACTGATTACAATCAGCTGTTTGTGAAAATGCTCTTTTCCACGCACCGAAATATAAAGTAACCATGTCAGTGACAGATGCGGAAAATAGTTTGAAAACAGTCCTTAAGAGGTTTTATTTTCAAGATTATGTTGTAAATGGAAAAGATTTTTTTACAAGTCTCGAAGAAGAGTCAGCCGTCACTACCAGTACTAGCAGGAATAAAAGCAGAAATTTAAAAATAAAGATAAAAGAGGTACAGTTATCAGTTTTATGTGTACTATCAGATAAACTTAATTTACTTCAACTTTAAAGTTACTGAATCAATTGAAGCATATTTTGCTAGACGTAGAAAATTATTATGCAGATGCTTTTGACAGTTTTTAATATTTTTTGATCTGTGTATATAAAGACGTTGTCTTCTTGATGAAGCCATATTTCTACAGAAACTTCGATTTTTTTTTCATATCATATTTACTGTACATTTTTTTAAAATTATTTTAGTTTTAAGTATGAATCTTATTTTCACAAGGTTACAGATCTTATGATAATCTAACTCGTATTGTTTTATGAATACAAAGAGAAAGATATACAAAAGAAAGTTTTTATTACATCTAGTTTTTATCTAAATGAAGAAATTCTTTTATATTTATTTAACTCTGACAGGTTCTCCACCCTTGTTATGGTTTATATGTGTGGCCTTCTGCTCCAGTGTTGGCTCAGTATGTATGGTACAACAGAGAGATGTTGACTGGAAAAGTTGTTCTTGAGGTAACTATAGTATTATAGTAGATAAATTGATGCATGCATTGTTTTATTTGTGTTAAAATCAATATTTCATGGCCTTCAGCTAATAGTACATTTGTTGTTTTTTTTATACACTGTCGTAATAAATCTTCCTACGAGCTGTAAGTATGAGTAAACTTTGTATTTCAAATCACTACTTATTCCTAGTCTTTTGAAGAAAATATATCTATTTTGTAAGTTTGCCACATTTTTGTCCAAATAGTTTACTTAAGATTTAATAAATGAAAAATTCTTCAAGATGATCAATGGTTTGTTGATTAACAGTTGATATATGCTTGAAGAATTTCTGTTGATTCCCTACAGAGGATTGCTTGAGTATGTTTATAATTCCTTTAAAAGATTCTTAGTTCATTGTTAAAAAAGATAAGCTATTAAAACAATACTTGTATAATTTTTTTTCCTTTTCTTGATTTCAAACATGTCTTATGTCTAGTCCTTGTCATAGCCATTTTGTCTTAGTGAATCATGTCATGCTAACCACAAGAGCACTAAAAAAAACTTTCACAAAATGGTGATTTTTTTTTGTTGAAAACGGTTAAGTTGCACTGTTGCTTATTTATGGGGTTTTGACATAATGAGGTCTGTTGTTCATTTTAAGTTCCTTCTAAGAATTCCTTATTGTAGCTATAAGGTTATATATTACTTAGTATTTTATTTGAGCTGGCTTTAAGGTATGTATTCCATTCATCTAGATTTAAAGTGTTAATTTATGCTGTCCAACTCTGTGATTCTTGTGATGCATTTGTTTAACACAAGCATGCTTTTTCATTCTAAAGTACTGAAAATAGAATACTTATTATTTTGAAAAGCAAAATTAATTTCTACAAATTGCAACCAAACCTGGGAGAAACTTTTTTTCGTTATTTTTCAAAACATGAACCTAATTTTATTCTGTTTATGTAGTGATTATCAGATTGATTTCCTAAACCTCCTCAGTATTTATGACTAAACCTCATCTAATCCATTAGTCAGAATCATGGTTAGATTCTGTCTATCTCGTTGGTTTCTTATACTAATATTTATCTTAAAACAAAAGAATCCTACTGTGAAATACAAAAATGTGGGGAAAATTCAGATGTTTACACACAGTGATCAAAACTTTTCACCACAGCATTGTCTAAGCAACAATTAATATTAACTTCTGATCAGAGCAAGTTATATACTTTGAGTGAAACTAAAAATCCACCTGGTAATCAGTATGGCTAATCTCTTATGTTTATACTTATAAATATTAGAATATACTGTTTCATCAGTTGGGTAACCTTGCTGTTAACAATATTTTCAGTGATCCAATAATACCTCACAAAGTTCAGCCAATTTAGGAGTTTTAGACTAGTCCTAAATACAGATATTAAGCTAACGATGCAAAACAATCCATATAATAAAATTATTTTAATAAAAATATATAAAATTAAAAATTAATATATAATAATTGCGGAACCCATAATGTTAATGAAAGTAACATTATATAGTTAATATAGCATGCTTTACTTGGTGAACATATTCTGGGATACAGAATGTATGTACTGTGACTTGTTTTGGAACTGTTGCTGATGTAAAATTTTCTTTTTTGCACTCACCAATTTTTCTTTTACAAGCTGTAATTTAGGTGTACTATTGTTATAAATAAATGCTTTCAATCAATCAATAATTTTCAGTGATATTCAAAAGTACTATCTTAGGTTTATATACAAAAAAAGTTCTTGTTATTGTAGGACTTGTCATTTAATTCCTGATAGTCTGCCATAATTTCAGTTTTTTGAGGAAGGGGGGCATACTTATCTAGCTCATAATTTAGTGTGTAACATCAAGTAATGTTCTCAGGATGTGTAAATAGATATAAAGTACCCACTACGTTATCTGTTTCCTATGGAAGATATTAATAATACAACAATGCTGTGTTACCATTTACTGAAACCAGTTGAAAGCAGGCAGCATGAAGATAATTCAATTTAGAATTTTAAAGTAAACCTGACCTGTTTCATTGTTGTACTTACTCTCCAATTTTCAAAATGCTAAGTATATTATAATTTTTCCTCCAAAATACTTTATAGTTTTAGCTTTGTAATACTATATCATTACTTCTAGAAGTGTTTTAACACACTCATGAAACAGCAGGGGTAGATGTGAGTAGTGAAACATGCAGTGATAATGAATTAAATAGAAAATAACGAGAAATATTTTTATCATTTGCAGGTTGGTGCAGGTGTAGCTCTGCCAGGAATAGTTGCTGCCAAAGTTGGAGCTGAAGTTTTTCTATCAGACACAGAATTTCTTCCTCAGTGTCTGGAACATGTCTCTGAGAACATATCCCTTAACAATCTAGACTCCAGCAAAATAACAATCATTGCCATTACCTGGGGTTTTTTCTCTTCACAGCTTCTCAGCTTGAAACCTGTTGATGTCATCTTGGGATCGGATTGCTTTTATGATACAAAAGGTTTGTTTTGAAGTCGTATAGTACAAAAAGTGTAGCAAATAAAATTTACTTTGACATCATCTTTTAATTAGTCAAATTCAAATTGCCAGGTGTAAGCCCATTCAATGATGCAAAACTAGCCTAATGAAGAAGCAGATTGGTATATGATTATAGTTTTGTCAGTTTATGTACTTTTGTTTAAATTGCAGGTTTAAAGAAGGTTTCAGTGAATTTTTTAAATAGGGTAATGTTCAGGATTTCCAAGTCTGAAATATTTGGGAAACCTAAATAGGATTAGGGAAAATCATTTTATTATAACTCTAAGAATTTTCAGTGGTGTATTCAATCCTCTGCTTACTGAGGTAATTTCTACTCATTTGTCACCTAGCTATCATTTTGTTTAAGATGCAATACTGTTTACCATTGGTGGATTGCACAATCTATGTACGGCTTGATCCAATCACAAGTTGCATTATTACAAGGACTATGCCAAAATTAGATGTTGGTAAGTTTGCACATGTATTCACAACTTTCCATTTGGGCCAATGATGTATGTTCTTTACATAAGTATTCTGAGGTAAGTAGTCTCCAAAGTATTCTTATGCTAAAACACTTAAGAGTGTTAAAGCATGAGGGTCATAGTGCCAATTGTATTTAACAACAATATTTTGATAACTTGCCCTTAATGTTATGATAAGCAGGTTGAAACCGCTTCAGTTGTCAGCGTGTCTGGAGATTATTTGGAAAACTTAAATTATGACCTAAAATGAGGCTAATCTATAAACTTAGTTTCATACGTAAAACAAATATTCTCCAAAATAAAGTTGTTACAAGTTTGCTTTACATGTCATTCATACATCTTTATTTAACTTTTTATGACTAAACTTTCTGAGGTTGTTGAGGGTATAGAAGTCAATAGCAACATATTAAAGTAAACAATAATTAATTGTATAATACTGTTACGTCTCTGTTCGTTTGTTAATTTCCAGTATAAATTCTTTCCAAGGAACTTCAGCGATACAAGTTCTTTCTTAATTAAAATTAGTTATTCTTTCTCGATACTACTTTGTAATACACAGAATTTCCACAGTCACTTTAACTTAACTATAATTCACTGTTCGCTTGACTTAATTATCTCTATCTTCAATCTATCTGACTATGCAATTCTATCTTTTTCACTGGCTTTATTTGCCAGGCTTATATACTAAAAAAGAGGGCACCTGGAACAAACTAGGAAATTCACGATCATTTAAGAAACTCCTCGCACATGCCACCAGCGTCATGTGACTTCCGCTGTCGTAACAATACTATTTCCTCATTCTTTTATATTCAGCCAAGAGTTGAAGGGTTACAAAATCTTCAAGGCATATCATCGAGGCAGCTTATTGATGAACTAATAATTAGTACTGAACTCCAATATCATTATTATCTTTATATATTGTACATAATGACAGTTTATAAATTTAAATATTTGTTTACAGAGATGGTTTTCATTTGAAGATAATTTTCACTTTAATTTTACATGTATTGAAAGTAAATTATTCAACAAATATTCATAAAATTAATTTTTTAATAGATTTTGAAGATATTCTTGTTACAGTGGTCTTTCTACTAAAACAGAATCCAATTGCACAATTCTGGTGTGCCTATCAAGAGAGAAGGTTCGTTTTTTTTTAATTATTTAATACTTAAGGTCACAGTTTATGAGCTAAAGATAAACAATTAGTTGTGCGAAAGGGCATTGTTCATATTTATATTTTTTTACAACTGTAGATGGACATTATAATACCATATTGATTTATACACATATGCTGTATGTAGTACTTAATACAGTGATAACTAGGTTCTAATGATTTGTCTTTTGAGTTAGCTAGAGCTTGATTAGACTTTTTACTTCATTCCTCAGTAGTTTTGGGATCCCAAGTTGAGTATTTTATAAATTGAGTTGTCTCTTGAGTAAGAAAGAACATTAATCTAGTATAATAATAAGTTGGTTAACAAAATTTATTAGTATAATGAATTTATTTATTTTTGAGAGAACATAGTTAAATGTTTTGACAGATCATTAGTTGGTCTTCTTCAGGTATGAAGATGACAGACGAATGTTCTGTCAAAATATTTAGTATATTCTCCAAAAAATAAACCATCTCATTGTGCTCATAAATCATTGTTTGTTTTAAAGACAGAAATAAGAACTCATTTTAATAGCAGCCTATGTGAGTAACTTATTTGTACGTGAATTTATGAATGTTTTTACTGATCAGAAATATGACTTAAAGAATATAAAATCTGATTTTATGCAATAGTATTAACATCTTTAAAAAATATACCTACAATTATGACTGTAATTTTTCCTTCCTATGATATTTTAATGATGGTCACAATTTTATTACAACTTATTCTAGTTCTTTTACGTCTCTGTCTGTTACTATAACATAATTCTTTATGCCTGTATTCTGTACATTAATCAGTCTTATAAAAAATGTGCACATGGTTGTTTGATCACTTTTTATTCAGAGTTAAACAAGTTTTAATACGGATACAAACATATTTTTTATCATGTGGCTGAAGAGAAATTAGTAACGTAAAGTTACTGTCTAAATGTACAACATGCTTGGTGTTTCGTTTTGGAATGTTCACAAGAAATGGTAATTAGTAGTAACTGCTCCTGCATAAAAATATGTCTAAATTATTTTATAATAACTTTTCTCATATGTGTTTCCTTTGGCGTTTTAAAATCTTTCATTTTTTAAACGTTTCTTCTTTGCTTTTGCGAGTTTGCATTATTTTGCCTCAAGTAATATTTTTCTTTTTGAAAATAAGTCATAAGAACCACACACGTAAATTGTTATTTATTTAAATTCTACTTCGAAATGTCAGTTCAGATTGGACAATTGAACATCTTTTAACAAAGTGGAGTCTTTCATGTGAGGAAGTTCCTCTGGCAAACTTTGATGCAGACAGTGCAGAAATCGGAGGATCAACCATGCCTGGCTGTCACACTGTTCATCTGTTGGTTATAAAGCTTAAAGGTAATAATGTCTTTATTTGAAGTTATAATTTTATTTACTTTTAATAAAAATTATCATGTTGGTATAAATTCTCCGAACAAAATTATACTAACATATAATGTTAATGTAAACAACCCACTGAAATAGATTGTTTAGATAAAATAATTAAGTTGATTTTATTGTTATTAATATTTCATCCTAGAGGTTTTTTTCATAAACACTGTGGATAATAAACGTTTCTAACTTTTCTATATGCTTCTAAAATAAAAAACACTATATTACATTAATTCTCTACTTTACTTTGTATTGTGAAAAGTTGTCAATATTATATATGTTCTACAGTTTGGGGGATATGGTTGCATATTCTGCTGTTAGATTAGAGTAGTTCAGTAAATTGGTGGTGGGTGCTGCTGACTAACTCCTTTCTTTACGTCAGTTCAAAATTAGGAGTGGTTAGCACAAGTAGATCTTGTGTTGCTTTGCACAAATATCTGAAACAAACACACAATTCAGAAGAATATATTAGTGGTATTAATACTTCAAGTCCTATATAAATATATAGGTTCACTGTGGTGAGTGAAAGATACCTAAATTATCTTACGTATAATATATAATCCACCTCCATAAGAAACCTAGTATTGTCCAAGGTTACTGATGAAGGGGTGTAATATAGCTCAGTTAAAACTGGGAATCAAACAATATCATGAGCTTAACATTTATTTTTAGTACCTTAAAAACAATAAATTAACCTAATTTGGATTATGTACATATCATTAGTACACGAGCTGTTAAAGTGAATGCTGGTTTTATAAGAACATTCCATTAATATTTTTTTTAGACGAGGAGCAAATGTGCCAACAATGTAAGATAGACTTACAATTGTTTCTCACTGCCAGTATAAACTAAACAAAACATTGTTAGAAAATATAGACTCATTTCTAAGTTCTAAATTCTTTTGAAATTTATCATTACAACATCTACTAATATAAATTCGACTTTAGTTTTACTATTTGGATATTAAGCAGTGTCTTAAGTTGACTGAGTTTTGAAAATAAAGTTACTGGAACAAGTCAATATTCATTATGACTCGTAAACATTTACTGTTTGTAAAACTTTTTACAGTGTGAAATACTGAAATTTACATTATATTTGTACAGCCTTGTTGATATCTTTTAGGCTCCATAATTCTTTTTTTCTTTCCATCCACAGAACTATCGATGTAACGAGTTATAATGTTAGGCACACTTCTTCTGTTAAAAACACGGTGAACTCTCTCTTCTTTTTTTATTTTCATGTAGAGAGAAACTTATCCTTTTAAAGAATAAATTAAAACCTTTTTTTAATCCTTTAATATCTTAACTTTCTGTCTGTAGTTCTAACACTATACAATCTAAAGTGTATACAATAATGATATTGTACCCAATTTTGTTAGAGTAATATTAAAAAACATTTCTAAAGATTTCATGTAATGAAGAGATTAAAGCAGCTAACAGTGAAAGTACAAAATTGATCTTTTTTTTATGCAATGAAGTTAAAAATATATTGTGGAGTTTATGAACCTGTATTTTTATTAGTTACTGCTCCTTTCAAAACAGTGTTAGGTCACAGTTTACAGTATTGTAAAGATATTCTTTAAAACTACCTTACAAGTTTTTTATTATATTTCAGAATTCCCCAGTGTTTTAACCACATGTGTGAAGTGCACAGAAATGACTTAAAACATTGCATATATAAACTGTGAATTCTTGGTAAAAAAAACTGAAAACAATATTTTTTTATGTTATTTAACTTCTTTCATTCAGATTTCTAATAAAAAGTTGCTATTTGTAACATACTGTGACAATAATTAGCTGAAAGTTGACTTTCCGTATTGTTCTGTTGTATAATTGTATTTTGAAAATTGCTTTTTTGTAGGAAGATAAACTGTTCATTGTATGCAAATTGTTACTTTGTAACATGTTCTTGGAAAGATAAGCAACCTGCTCATTATGCACAAATTGTTGCTTTGTAACGAGTTTTTGGAAAGATCAGATACCTGCTCATTGTACACAAGTTGTTGCTTTTTAAGGAGTTTTTGGAAAGTTAAGGTACCTGCTCAATATACACAAGTTGTTGCTTTGTAAGACATTTTTGGAAAGTTAAGGTACCTGCTCATTATACACAAGTTACTTTATAACATGTTTTTGGAAAGATAAGATACTTGTTTATTGTATGGAAGTTGGTTACTTTATAACATGTTTTTGGAAAGATAAGGTACCTGTTTATTGTATGGAAGTTGTTACTTTATAACATGTTTTTGGAAAGATAAGGTACCTGTTTATTGTATGGAAGTTGTTACTTTATAACATGTTTTTGGAAAGATAAGGTACCTGTTTATTGTATGGAAGTTGTTACTTTATAACATGTTTTTGGTATAGATAAGGTACCTGTTTATTGTATGGAAGTTGTTACTTTATAACATGTTTTTGGAAAGATAAGGT